ATGGAAGCATTAAAAGCAATGTGGCACATGGGTTTTCCTGTTTTCTTCCGACTACACTTTTAACTCCTGAGATAGCAAGCATCGACACATGGAAATTCTCCGAACAATGTACCAGAAAACCTGTTTTTTTTTTTTTTTTAATTGGGTTTCCCACATATTCAACAGATGATGGGAGTTAAAAAAAAAACAGCCATCGCAGCAAACATAGAGAAGATACAAACAACAAGCATTGGAGTAAAACCTCCAACAGCAAAAACAATAACCTCAGGCAATCCGGCAAGTGTTTTAGCGGGCCCAACTTATTTCAAAACAGTCACTAAAGCCATTCCAAAACAGGTACTCGAATTATTTCAAAACAGCCACCAAAACTTCTTCAAGATAGGTGCCCAAAACATTTTAAGATAGTCACCGAAACCTCCCTATTATGGTAGATTAACTGAGAATGGCAGCAAATAGACCAGTCTCGATAATGATCAGAGGTATTAGTCTTCAAATTTCAAGGTTTAAGTTTTCACGGTAGGATGTTGAAAAACAAGTGAGAGTGGGTTAAATAGTACAATTATTTTTAGAAGTTCAAATGAAGGAAAAGGTAGGGGACGTCACGGATACTGAGGAGAACCCTCAGTGACTTCCCAAACTATTCTACTGTGTGGCTGCGTTTTGAAGACGATATTATTTGTTTGTTCGATCTTGTCAATTTTATTATTTGACACTTACATTTGTATAATACCCGATTATGCAAATAGCCCGCAAAGATAGGATGTTTTACGTCATGCCACACGACAACCTTAGAACCTAAGGCGAGTTAGGACTTACGCTGCACAACATAACTGTACAGTAGTCTAAAGAGAGAGTGAGGATTTACTTTGCGATGAGCGAGCTATCTTGAAGTCCTATAGGTTGTTATTTAGACTAAAGAGAGATTACTGAAAAAGTTCATCTTGTTGCTCGATCCAAGTTCTTTGTCGTGCTGCCCACAAAACTGACTCCAAGCTCCTCGTCGAAGTAACAGTCATAAGATCTAAGGTTCAAAAGGTTTTACCATGTGTGTTTCAAGGCTTTGATTTTATTTTCATTCAAACATTATGGGGGGGTTAATGTTGATTAGAGCGACATTGGTTAGGATCCCACGGTTTCCTCATTCCGGTACCACTATTTTCTTTTGAGCTTACTTAGTCTAAACGAGCTGTTAAACTCATTTAAACTGGGGAGATCTCGTTAGCAACCGTGGGTTAGCTCATCCGAGGGACTCCCGTAAATTCAAAAGTACTTGTATGTTTTTTTTTGTTTTGAAAATGTTTAATTTTGAAAAGTTGTTTTATTTTGAAAATGAAATCGCAACCAGACCTGCATGATACATTAAGACAAGAGTAAATTGCAGTGATAAAATAACAATAAATAAAATGTAATTGCGTACTGGCGTATCTGCTTCTGCTGTCCTTGCTGGTGTTTAGCTCACAACATAACATAATTTGCAGGGAATTTAAATAAATTGCAGAAAAGAAAAAAAATAAAGAAAATAAGAATTCTAATGTAAAAAGCAACAGAACAAGTCGTAATAGCAGTCAGGAACTCCAAACAAGTGATTCTAAGCCTTTTTCTACAACTCCGGACAACAACTAGGAACTCTTAACGGTGATCTTAAAGCTTCCTACGACTCCGGGCAGCAACTAGCAAGTCTGCGCGGTGATCCTACGATCTCCTACGACTCCGGGCAGCGACTAGCAAGTTTGTATGATGATCCTACGACCTCCTACGGCTCCGGGCAGCAGATAGCAAGATTATACGGTGATCCTACGACCTCCTACGACTCCGGGCAGCAACCAACAAGCTTACACGGTGATCCTACGACCTCCTACAACTCCGGCTCCGGGCATCAACTTCAACAATCCCCAAAACAGTGAAAGTATGGAGCAAAGGCAGCCCCCAAAACAATATTTTTGAAAGCTCCAAATGGCAAGTAAAACAGCCCAAAAAGGTTCACAATTCTCTTCCACAAAGTAAGCAAAACGGCCCAAAAGATTGGTGTTCACACCACTCCAAGCAGGAATTAAAATCAACCCCAAAGAGGTGAGCAAATTCTAAACATGAAAAGTTATCCTTTTCATTAAGAAATGGAGATACTTCCTATGTGAAACCAAAGATTTGGGTAGTATGCATGTGAATACGAAAGTTCAGGAGTTAGATATATGAATATATAACCATCCTGTAATATGTACGTAAATGTAATGGAAGCATTAAAAGCAATGTGGCACATGGATTTTCCTGTTTTCTTCCGACTACACTTTTAACTCCTGAGATAGCAAGCATCGACACATGGAAATTCTCCGAACAATGTACCAGAAAACCTGTTTTTTTTTTTTTTTTGAGAATAACTCTTTCATATTCAACAGATGATGGGAGTTAAAAAAAAAACAGCCATCGCAGCAAACATAGAGAAGATACAAACAACAAGCATTGGAGTAAAACCTCCAACAGCAAAAACAATAACCTCAGGCAATCCGGCAAGTGTTTTAGCGGGCCCAACTTATTTCAAAACAGTCACTAAAGCCATTCCAAAACAGGTACTCGAATTATTTCAAAACAGCCACCAAAACTTCTTCAAGATAGGTGCCCAAAACATTTTAAGATAGTCACCGAAACCTCCCTATTATGGTAGATTAACTGAGAATGGCAGCAAATAGACCAGGTTTGGATTTAAACATGCCAAGAGGTTTTACCTCTTCATGGAACTGTTGTGCAAGCAAGAATTTCAACTTAAAAATTGCATCAATAAGTAAAATAGAGGTATTTCTACACTTTGACAAAATTAAAAGAAAACTGTAAAACCGTCTATGGGAAAAACAACTAGTAGATTTTCATCAACAACCAATAAACGAGTTGCCATCGATATATGCCACGAATTTGAGAAAAAGGTTTAGGTTTTACTTGTCTTACCGGGGATAAGAACAGAAAGGAGAGGTATGGCGAGGGGGAAGGCTCAATCCGGGAGAGAACCAAACGGGGAAGCTTGCTGTGCGTGAGGGGGAGAATGAGGGTTTCAGTGCCGACCAATAAATGACGCAATAAGAGCATGGAAAATACGGGCTTCAGTCGCGCGAGAGGGGAAGGCAAGCATTATTTCTTCGGTTGAGCGAGAGGGGGAAGACGAGTGGGGGAGAGGAGGCGAGCATTTCTGGCATAGAGGGAGGAGTGCGGATCGTAGAGGGAGAGCGTGATCGAGCAGAGGAGTTGAATCTATCGGGCAAAAAAGCAGCGTGCGGGGCTTGGTCGTGCGCGAGGAGGAGCAGGCGCGAGAGAAGGGAGCACGGGAGGTCGAATCGGAAGAAGGCGAGCGGGGATGTTCGATCGAGCGAGGAAGGCGAACGTTTCTGTTCGCAGAAGAGGAGCGGGGGCCAAATAGAGGAGCAGGTGAGTCAAGCAGGAGAGCCGAATGGGAGGAAGGTGAAATCCTAGCGGGGTTTTTATCCCTCAAATTCCAAATAGCCGTTAAGCTTGTGTTCGACAGGGAATTAAATAGTTTCCACAGGCAGAAGAGTTTTATGTGGCTGGTAATAAATTGCAAATGAATTTAATTAGGGTGAAATTAAATGACTCATTTGAAATTTTAAAATTTAAAATTCAAATTTGTTTAACCCTTGTTCAGCCCGAGTTTAGCCCGAATCAAATCCGAGTTAAACCTGGGTCGAGCCCAAGCCCGCTCCCCGCTAATTAAAAAATGTGCATCAGTTTTCGTTCTAATTGCTCACGCTCCAAATCATAGCATTATGAGTGTTCTTCATAGCTAAAATAAACGCCCCAGGCGCATCTGTGTGGCCTGTTTCATCATCCGCTCTTGTCCAGACGAGTTCGCCTACAGACAAGTCAATTCAAGTCAAAATTGTGCGTGGCTCGATGCGTGCACAAAATGCGGCGTCCGCGAGTGCTTGAATCACTAAGGGTTTCCTTAGGGGCTGCTCCTATTAATGTAGGAACTCAACTCGAAGGGGTTGATCTTATTAATTTAGGAACTCAACTAGAGTCCCATATGTCAGTTCTAACCAACTCAACAAAATGCCGAGGATTTGGGACTGCCCATGCGAGACTTGAGGGAGTGACGAGGTGGCTCGAATATTCTAAATGGTGTGGGTCTGGTTTCTAGTCCTCTAAGAGAGTCAAATAAGGAAAACCTAAGGCTAGACCCTAGGCTCTAAGGAGAGAAATAAAGACCTCACTCAAAAATAAGGTCAACAATGTTAAATAGTTATTTATTCATTCCAAGTTTGTTGAGTTGCTTGTTCATTTAGACTAAACAACATTATTTGTTAATATAACAATCACATGGGCGTTTGTTCAATAATATTTTATATATGAGCTTGTTTGTTATGCTCTATAAGTGCTCATTTGTTTAATATAAACGTGCCAAGTACAAGACAGAAGTGATCGTTTACAAAGCATTCTTGCAAAAGCTTGTCTCGAACTCAAACCAAATTTAAGCAAATTTTTGTATGTTAAAGCAAAACCTAATCCCTATTATGCTTGGTTCAGCTTGATTACTGTCCTAGGCAGTCCATTTTTTGAATTGGAAAGTAAAATTTATAAAATCGAGCGGTTGATCTTTGTTATTTTTGAGATTTTTAATTTTGTAGATGCATTTGTAGTACAACTTTACTTAATGTAGTGCTTCTAGGTACATTTCATTAGTTAATAACAAATCTTGTGCACTGTCTTTCCGCCCCTTACCCCACAAACCACAAACCCCCTCCCCCTCCCTTTGTGTTTCTGCATTTGTTATTAATGGGCATGTGAGCGGCCATATTGACGTGGGCAAGGACATGTTTGTGCTCATGGAAAGCCTTTATTATGAGAAAATTGAATTTTGTATTTAGATCTTAGCATTTTTTACACTAATTATTCAATTAATATAGTAAGGTTGGTCATGGCACATAATTTTACTTTCTTTTGCTTACTTACCATTTATAAATATGTAGGCTAATTTTGGAGTGGATGATGTTTATCAGAGTATGAAGATGCTGCATTGAAAACTCAAAGCAGCCTTGCGTTTCTGAACTTTGGCCAAAATGTTATATTTAGCATGGCGCTTTCTGCAGCAATGGTTTTATGTTCTTATGGGATTATGAGCGGTGGCATGACAGTTGGTGATTTGGTAAATCACTTTACTCATCGTGAATTTCTCATCTATTTAATTAGATCTGTTATTTCATTTGCTATTCACTCCTATATTATATTGCCTTCAACTTTTCGGTTAGAGAGGAGCAACAGTCGGTTAATTTTTCATCTTAATCAGCTTTATTAGCAATCTATGCCTATCCCCCTTTCCTTACCCCTTTGATTTAGTTTGTTTATCCACATCTTTAATAAAATCTGAAGTACACAATTTTTATAACATTTTAATTCTTTAATCTGTGAATGGCTTCAGAATTACAAAATTAAAGTGGAAGTTTATATTGCTACTCGTTAATTAGATGAATGCTTGCACAAAAATATATTTGAAATGTTAATTAGATGAATGCTTGCACAAAAATATATTTGGAATGTTGTTGATCTCATTTTTGGTGAGGTCTAGTCTTCCTCTTCGGGTTTAGGATCTAGCCTTAGGGATCTCCCTTCGTCTATCTTAGAACCTTAGAAATGGAACCCGCCTCGTTCTAGAAATTCAACCTACTTCTGTACCCTTTTGGAGTTTCGCGTGTGTGGTATCGACTTCTAGCACTTAGAATGGTGAAACCAACATGAGGAAACCCAAAAGGGATTCCTATAAGACCTTTGGAGCCTTAGGATGACCTTCTGCACAATTCGCACTTCCGCTGTCGGCCGTTTTGGATTCGACGTGTCCGATCGCCACAATTCGCATCGCTTGCACTGTTACCTGTTGAAGACTCGAATAAACCTTTTGAAACGATCGATCGCGGGTCAAAATTTTGTGAAATTTGAATTTTGACGCGTTTTTTACCCGATTGTCAACGACGTCGTCCAAGCGACCCCAGATGACAAAACAGACTACACCAGCACGTCCGGAACATCGATTTTGGCTAGGGAGGACACCCATTTTGTTACGACGTCGCGCGCGAGTAAATTGCATATAATTTAATATATATATATATATTAATTTATATAAAACCAATTCTCCCTTTTTCTCTTTAAACACTAAATCCCTAAACTCACGCTCCCGAGCTCTGCCTCCCTTCCCTCTTCCGTTCGCGTGTCTGGCTTTTCCCTTTCTCGGTATCGAGCCAACCAAGCTCCTCCTCCTCCACGCGAGAGAAAGTTGACCTCGGTCGTCCTTGCCTGACATCCTTCTGCCCGCGGCCTTTCTTCCCGAAGCCGTGTCAGTCTCCCCGAGCTGCTTTTTTTTTCCTTTTCCTGGTAGTTTGACTCTGGGAAGCTTGTTCCCTGGTACACTTGAACGACAAAATTTTCTCTTCTTCCCGATGCTTCCCTTGCTGCTACTGGGCTTGCCGCTCGGTCCGGGATTTTTAGGTGGCTTCGCCTTCTGTGAGCAGGGAGCGCGTCCTTTTCTTCTTTGGCCCGATTCGAGTGCCGTGGGTCGAGGGGGTGATCTCCTTTCTCTTCTCCTCTCGTATTTGCCTATAAAGATAGTTTCTTTTGATTTTTTTTGGAGTGGTTGTTGAAAAAGTTTTCTGAGAGGAGGGATAGAAATTTTTGGCTGTGGGAGAATTTTAGGAGGAGATTCCTGTGAGAGGACATCTTTGAGGTAGCTTCTTGTGTTGCGGTGCTTTACTTTGACATTAAGGAGGTACCCCTTCTTCCCCCCTCTTCTTCGGTGCCCTGTTTTCTTTCGTTTTTCCTCTCTTTTTTCCCTCTGCCGAGCCTTTGAGCTTGGCTCTGTTGGATGATACAGCATGCTAGTTCATTTTTACTTTGATATATTATTGAGATATTCACTTCAAGTGCATTTAGAAATGGAAATGTGGGCATGTTCTAAGAGCTAAACTTGGTTACTCACTTAAACTAGGGAGGCTATGATGAGAGAATTATGACCTGAAAAAGACTTAACAGAAACAAGTAAATTGCAGAGAAAATATAAACAAATAAAATCAAATACCATACCACATATAAATGACCAAGAATAGAAAATTTATATGTGATATTGGAATGTCCCCAATTGCCAGAAGGATTTGAGTGTAGGACACTTTCATGAATGCTAGGGAGTTCATTTTACTGTTTTATGCATGTTTGGGGGCTCGGTTTTGGCTTCCGGTAGTTTTGGCTTCCTGTAGTTTTCCCTGGCTTGAAATATATGCTATGAGAAAATCTATTTAATGTGGAAAGTATTGTAGCTTGTTGTGAGGGCTTGGTTTAGCTCTTCGTGAAGTTCCTCTCTTGTTCAAATATTTGTGAGAATAATTTCATGCTTGGGACATTTAGACATGCAGGTTGTTTCTTAGCTCTGGATGGCTCGGTTTTTCCTACAAGTGGCTGGGACTTTAATTTCTATTAAAGTGTGAATTTACATCATTGCTTGGGCCTGTTTTAATCTTGTTGAGCTCGGTTTTGGTTAGGTCTAATTTTTATGAAAGCCTGAAGTTTCATATTGCTGGACTTGGCTTTTGACTCTTGTTCAGCTCTATTTTGGCTTTTGGTCCTTGTTGGGCTCAGTCTATCTAAATTCTCATTTCTTCCGATTCCAACTAGTCTTCCAATTTGCAATTCATTTTTCCTTATGTAAAAGAAAAGGTGGGTTATTCGTTACACTATCTCTTCTTTAGATTTTATCATCCAAAAAATTCAAATTTTAATTTTAATTTTCTCTCATTTTCTTTTTCTCTCCTATTTCCCTTGAGATTATAAATCATTTCTGAATATAATTAAATCGAAAATTCCCATTTTAAATTGACCGTTAAAAAAAAAGAAAACAACACGAACGAAAAAGTAGACCGATCCATTTTTAAAACCAAGTTAAATCGATAAAACTCATGAATGTATCAATCTAAAACATTTAAATTCGTTAAAAAGAAAATGATCGGATCAATCCCGAGGAGGATATCATTTCCAAATGTCAATTTTGCGCATTTCCAAACCCCTATTGAATTAAATTTATATCAATCTCATACTTTCTTCAAAATGAAATTATATAAACCTTTTTTTTTATTTCACAAGTCACCAAACCAGCTCCAAATAAACCCAAACAAGCTCACAGGTAAAGCCCAAAAAGAGAAATAAAATGTCACCAAACCAGCCCCAAATAAACTAGCTTTAAAGCAATGGTAGGAAATCCTGAACCGAGCCAGTTAATTCAGCTAAAAAACGAAGGCAGAAAACTCCAAACTGAGCCAATTAATTTAGCTCAAAACGAAGGCAGAAAACCCCAAATCGAGCCAATTAATTCAGCTCAAAACGAAGGCAGAAAACCCCAAATTGAGCCAATTAATTCAACTCAAAACGAAGGCAGAAAACTCCAAAAGAATCAAAGCCAAATCTCCATTTAATATAGGTATATTTTCAGCCAACATTTAATCCAACAAGAAGGTAAACCCGATCTCATTAAATGAACTAAAATAGGGTCTTTTAAACAAAATTTCATGAAGCCATAACCAAGCCCCTCCCACAAGGAGGCAAAATTGAGCCCAAAAACATGATTTTCCAACTTTTGAAATGAC